AAGAGGGACAAGGGCAGGTCAGGTGGGTGTGAGGGTCGGGAAGGGCACGGCCAAGGCGGGAAAATGAGGCTTCCGCCTTCCTTGGCTGTTGCATTTGGAAACAGGCAGCTAACAACCGCCCAACTTTTTGCAGATACCTATGAAAAGATCTGCCGGTACCTTGCCAGAGAAAGCGACTCTGTGGTTGTGTCTGTCGGGTGAGTTATGTCGGTAACTAACCAAAACGATTCTGACTCTACTACCCCATGGAAGTCTTTTGGCTTCTTTTCACTTCTCACCACTGCAGTGTTGCATGTCTTGTAGGAACACTCCTCCTCAGTAAACCATTCCCCCAGGATCCCAGATGGTTGGACAGAATTTCAAGGGAACTATTTTCATTTCTCGCCCACCCATCTGCTAATGCAGGGGGAGTGCAAACAGACCCCAAAGGTTCATGTATCTCACAACACAGAGCTCTGCTGGCACCATACAAAAAGAAAGAATGCTTTCCAGAAGAGTTTTCTTATGTGTTGAGAACTGACTAATAAACAAAGTCTGAAGGTGGTGATTCAATGATCTGTTTAATTAGATGTAATCACCCTGTAAACCTCAAGGAGTTTTCTACCGGTGAGAATCAAATGCTAATATATTTTAATGCTAATAATACAGAAAAATATAACTGTCCCAGTTACTTGAATAAATAAAGAAACATGAAATAAAATAATTCTCAACAGGAAATACCTGAGTAAAGCTGAGGTGCAGATTGATTAAATTACATAAGCCACAAGCCAGATGCAGTCTACACCAGAAGAGTAAAATTAACTTGTATCACTCAAGTTCTGATCAGTGCTGTTATGAGAAGATCCCAACTATGCTAAATCCTTACAACTTCATCCTACTGGCTATCGTTTATCTGTGGTAACTCACTGGACAAATAGCTGTTTAGCAGATAATGACACTTTTCTTTTTTTTTTTTTTTTTTTTCCGCTGAAGGAGAAATACTCCAAACAGCACAGGGAAAGCCAAGGTGCTATAGGAAACTTGTATTTACAGGTATGACATTTCCTTCATTTACTTTTGTTGTTTCTTTCTGTGTGCTAGGTATCGTTTAGCTCCTGAACACCCATACCCTGCTCCATATGAAGACTGTCTTAATGCCACCATACACTTTATGAAGGATATCGAGCACTATGGTGTGGATCCTGCCAATGTAATTGTCTGTGGGGACAGTGCTGGGGGCAATATAGCAGCTGATATTAGTCAGACCCTTGCAGGTAGATCAGACCTCCCCAAACTACGTGCTCAGGTCTTGATCTACCCAGGCCTTCAGGCACTGGACTTCAATTTACCATCCTATCAGCAGAATCGAGGAGTCCCTCTCTTATTTCGAGAACGTGCCGCTTTCTTTGCTTTGCAGTACCTGAACGGGGATGCACTGCATATGCAAGAGGTCTTGGAGGGCTCTCATATTCCTGGAAGTACAGGAAGTGGGTGAGCCCAGACAACATCCCTGAAAAATTTAAGGTCAGAGGCTACAAGCCACACAAGCCCCATGAATTCAAAGCTGAAGTTTTTGAGAAAGTTAAAGGATTCTTTGATCCCAACCTGTGTCCGCTGTTAGCCGAAGATGCTATTATTCAGCAGCTGCCTGAGTCTTTCATCTTGACTTGTGAGTATGATGTGCTACGAGATGACGGCTTGCTTTACAAGAAGAGACTGGAGGACAACAGTGTTCGAGTGACCTGGTACCACCTCGAGGATGGATTCCATGGAATCATAAGCCTATATGATTTTTATGGTTTTTCATTTCCAGCTGGGAAAAGGGGATTGGACAGAATTGTTAAATTCATAAAAGACCTGTAAAAACAACTTTCCCTTTTTATGCTTCTCCCACTAATGTCTCCATTTAGGCTCCCAAACCTCAGGCAGTACTTGTCTGCAAAAATGTGATACCTTTTGATGTATAAAATACCAATTTTGATATTCATGAACTTCATATACTGTCCGAACACTGGTCTTTGTCCTTGTGAGACTACTGACAGTTCAGTCTTTACAGTTTTAATATTTTCCACATGCTGTGTTTCAACCCCTTTTCTTTCAAATGAGCATCTGATTGATTCCTTGCATTTAATCACCAGATGATTTACTTCTAGGTAAATAATGTCTGTGGAACGATTTGTATTAAATAACTCCTGTGAATTACAGTCAGGATCTTTGTGATGTCCATTTGTTAAGCTCCAAAGGATGACTTTATTTTAATAAGCTAAAAAGTACAAGTTAGTTACATAGTGAGCTAGAGGGAAGAGTTAGAGGAAAGCTCTGGGAAAACAGGCAGAGATCAAAGGTCTCAGTGAGGAGATTCAACATCTATTCAGTGGGCTTGGCAGAACCACATCTGCAAAGAGCAGCAGTTATGAGGCCTGAGTTAATTGGGGACACTGGAAGCAAGTAAGGGCTGCCCTGATTTTGAAGTAACCGTAGCTTTACGAACTCCTGTTTAATTTTGAGACATCTCCACTGAACCCACTGAAGCTCAGGGCAAGAGATACTGGTTGAGAGGGAACACATGCATCAGGTTTTAGAAAGACAGTAACGATCAGTGAACTGGGCTCTTGATCTGCATATACTGGAAGGTATAGCTTAAAGAGAGAGAAAATAGAACCAAAATGTTCTCCTGTTCTTTCAGAGTGGTGACCCAGTATTATTTTTTTAGAGTTTGTGCTGTGCTGTTTCTCCATGGTTTGAGTTTGCTTTAACAGGACAAGGCAGTGTATTCCTTGACATGATGCTTCACTATACTCTGATGGTGAGAGCACTGAAAACCAGTAGTGAGCACGCTCAAAACAGTAAGGCTGGAGAAATTAAAATCGTCAGGAAAAAAAACCAAAACCACAACCAAACTAAGCCTGAGGAAATCAGAATTTTTTACGAAAACAAATGCTGTCTTCCATTTAGATTTCAGAGCTCAAAGGCAGCCCTCCCTTTAGCTTCCTGCAGGCTGCCGTTAGACAAAGAATCCCTAAATTTAAGGACAAACGACCTGCTCCGGGCGATGCGAAGATGAATCCGTCAGGACCGCAGGTGCCCTGCAACCCACTGCCGCTGCCGCTTGCCTGGCTCTTTTGAAAGGGCAGTACCAGCCTCGAAGCC